GAGCTGACAGAGTTCAAACAAGTTGCAACAATTTTATTAACAGGCTGTTTTGTGTTCTTCCTAAGATTGTTGAGCACAGTGGGGAACATATGGGAATGTGATTTCACAGATGCTTTTGTTCTGTCTTGCATTGTCAGATTGTGAATCAATAAAAGCATTTAATTAAACAAATTTTTGTGATTTTAATAAAAAATAAATGAAAATAGTATGAAGATGTCTTCTCACCTCCTTATCCCCTGGGGGTAATGGGAACTCTCCATTATTAACGTAAATGCAAAGCCCCAAAATAAACACATAGTATTAAATAACATGATCTACATCAACCTTTTATGAAGTGATAGACAAAAAGGAGGGCAATGACTGTCAATGGAAAAAGAAAGTATATTCATGTCGATTTAAGTGTCCTTCTTTCAGTTGGGTATGCATGATTAGCAACACGGGGTCATTGTTATGATTTCTCTACTATTATCAAATCCCTCACCTCGTGGTAATTTTGGAAACATTTTGACATGCTCCTTTTAACTACACTGCTGTTGATATTGTAGCAATAGAAAAATGAAACGCTTGGAGTTTGTAATGTAGGGCGCTCTGAACAAGTTAAACTTTGATGCAGGACAAATAAATGTATTCCCACAAGATATACTGTAGTGGCTCTAAAACTAACTAACAACATTGCACTGTATGCATGAGCACCTCTTTGCTCAAGTTTAAAAGATACAGTACGGAAAAACAAGTATTAAGAAAAACAGGACATTTGAATGCTGGTTGCCTTATGTTAAAGAGAGAGTTAAAGATTTAAACAGACCATGCTACTGAAAATGTATTCCACCCCCTGAGCAGAACTGTCTATTTTATATAACAAACAGTGGGGTGTAACACTCCTCTATAAATTGAAGGTTGTGAAAACAGTGAGTGACAAATCACCCCTAACAAAATACAATTTTAAAATACAAGCAGTTTGAAATTATTCGTTGTTATTAATAAATCACTTAGCTTCGAACATGTTGTGACAAGAAATGTCAATATAGTGTCCATAATATTTGCTATTTTAGTTTTTCAAAGAAATGTTTATATGTTCAAGGAAAGCTCATGCTAGGAGCTCAGCTTGAACCTCCAACCTGCCACACATGAATTGTATGCCAAAGCCATTACACCAACATGCGGCTTGACAGCATTGCCTAAAACTGAAAAGGGCAGGCAAAATGTTTTCATGGGTGAATGAGTAAAACCGATGCAGACGCTTACAGCCTTATCGCATCAAAATTGGTACATTTAAAAAAATGTATGAGGCGATATACAACGTGTCTGCTCTATAACTCTTCAGTGTACAGAATAATTTCCGCAGAATTACACAACCTCGTTTCAACATAGTAAACAACAGTCACTGGCTTACTTGAAGGTGTAACACATCTTCACTGTCATGTCACTGTCACAGTTTCAACATACTGTACAGTATGTTCTCCATTACCACTAAGAACAATACAAGTTTTTTTACAAAAAACAAAATGTCAAAATGTTTCCAAAATGTCCAAAATATGTGTCCAAAATATTTTAGCTGCTTAGTTACACAACTCCATATTAATATTACTATTAAGTGGTATTAAATCAGTACAACTTTTATTTTTTTAGAGCAGTGGTTCTCAAACTTTTTGGACCAAGTACCACTCCTAATCCAACCAAAGCATCCAAGTACCACCTACAAGTCATCATCTCATAGGAACCCCAGAAATTATCAATGACCAACATGAGTGCATGTGCACACACACTCACACATACATATAATAAATATAATAATAAACTTTGTTTGATATATTAAAATATGGCTTCTCAAAGTGTTTTACAGGAAAAAAAAAACAACATAAAAATAAAAAAGCACCATTTCAGTGAGAGGGGTGAGCCTGTTTACTTGAGCAATGCAGATGTGAATAAATTTTTCGAGATTTTAAATCATCAGGCATTTTCTTGACTGCTAAAGTCTCGCGGTGGATGTTACAATGCGTCCATTAATTTCTGCAGCAACCTCTCTAATTCGTGTAACTACACCGCTGTGTTGGCTTGTCATTGCTCTAGCACCATCTGTACAAACTCCGACACATTTTATCCAGTCGATGTCATTCTCTGCGATAAATTCATTCAGAAGCTGAAATACATGCTCTCCTGTAGTTCCTGTTGGTAGCGGCTTACAGAACAGAAAGTCCTCACGGGACGTACCCTCAAACTCTTATCTAACGTAAACGAGCAAATTGGCCAAATCGACTACAGACTCATCTAATTGCAGTGAAAAACATCTGCTCATCTTAACGCGCTCTGTCAGCGTACTTTTGATATAATATTTCATTTAAATAATTCTATGAATGACTGTGTCTTTCGAGGGGGCAGCAGCTTTTTCTCCACACATAATAGTGTGGGGCTTACCTGCTTTAGCAATCCGCAAGCATGCATTTTTCCACGTTTCCGTTTTTATTTCAGTGTTTATTTTAACTATTTATTTCATGCGCATGGGAGAGAACACAGAGACGCTCGTTGTATTTTTCTCAAATTAACTTAGAACAGTTCTTAAATATTTTTCTGTTATTTTTCACGCTTTCCTGTGCTCACAAGATTACCAGTGTTCGTAGCACGCATTTCTATGCATTCCTGTGTTAACAACGTTGGCATTGTTCCAAAATTACGCACATTCTCCTTTCTCCCTATTTGCTGGAGATACAGTAGCTTTTTTAAATACAATTGGTCACTTGCGTCTGTAGCACGCATTCCTATAGAGTGGTATAGAATTACAGAGTATCTCTTGTGTCCACTGAAGTATTAGCGCGCACTGTATCGTAGTATGTAGGCTGCGTAGTCGACACGTATAAAAATACAAAATATGAAAACCCGTCCCGATTTTTTCAGCGCACACAACACAGTTCCAGGGTCATTTGGCGTACCACCTGGCAGCACGCCACGTACCACTGCCGGTACACGTACCACAGTTTGAGAACCACTGTTTTAGAGTAACAGTAAGTGGTATTCTGACTACAGTACGTATTCTAAGAAAAGGATAAAACGTTATAACTTTTTATAAGCTTAATAATGTTAGAACAAGCCCGTTAAAACCAGAACCCATGTAAGTTACCAAGTTAAAGACTTTGATGCATAAAATACTTATGCATAATTAAAATAATTATGATGAAGGTGGAAGGTTGTGTACTTTTGTCCAACTGAGCAATCTTGCTTTTAGAAAATATACCGACTTTTTAATGTTTAATAATTAACATGCTGTAATATACAGTTTAAAATATTTAAAAATCTGAAGAGTATACAACCTAAATTCTTAATTGTAAAAAGATTGTCCCTCAGCAGTGACTGGGATTCGAAACCGCGTGTTTTCTGGTGAAAGCTCAAATGCTGTAGATAAGACATTAAGCTTTATTAGCTCCACTTGGCAGTTTTACAAGGTACTTCCGGATACTATTATCATATTTCAATTTGCATGCGGTATGATGCGCCACGCCCCCCGCATTTTGACGCAGCATATTCCGTGCATTTAGAATTGCTGGAGCTGTAGGCAATTCATAATAATAAAAATAATTCAAAATAATGGATTTTTTTCATTCTTTTTTTTCATTCTTTGTCCTGTCTTCGTAGCAAAATATGAGGATTTTTTTAGATATTTGTTCAACCTGTCTCAGATTTTTATCCAAGGTAATAGATAGATAGATAGGACAAGGCCTATAGGCTTTCTCAGTGTGCCAAAACATAAACTGGCTTTTTAAGAATGAAAAATGAAATGTATTTGTTGTTTTTATTTCTGCACATTTCTTTCTAGTGAGTGCACAGATTAAGACATAAGAAAACTGATGATTCAAGCTTAATGCTCAAGGGTTTAGGCCACTACTGTCTACATTTCTCCAGATACTTCACAATGATTTAGGGCAAATCCTTTCAGGTAGAAATTGCCCCAGGGTCTGAGACAACATGAGGCTAGAAATCCATCCATTTTATTCATTGAAGGAATAAAATGGATAATAATGGAATAAAAATGGAAGGACACTACATTGGCCTCCAGTCCATCCCAGACAAACACACAGACAAACAGGCACAAATTCACTCCAGGACCAGTTTTCCCAGAAGCCAATTAACCTATAAGTATGTCTTTGGACTTTGGGAAGGTGCATGTGGAAGAAACCCACAAGTGTACAGGGAAAATATACAAACACCCCAGGAATTGAACCCAGGGCCCCAGGAATGTAACACAGCAATGCTAACCACTACACCTCTGTACCACTCACATTTGTTGTATACAGTATGACTGTTTTAATTCAAAATTAATACAATATTAAAAAATTTTTTTTTTTCATTTTGTTTTCTTTAACAAAAAAATCCTATATCTTTTCCCGTTTGCTCTGTTCTTATATTTGTCAATATCAGTTTTTAACTAATTCTTTTAGTTTTCGGGTGATGTATCTTTGGACTACCATAGACGTCTCTACTGGAATCAATTCTCTTCATACTTTATATCATTTGGCTATATTCTGGTATAGTTGGTAAACTAATCAGGTTTAAAAGAAAATATTCGTTTATACTAATTAGTAGCTAAGTAGTTGCAATTGCAATTTGAATTCAAACCATTTCAGATAAAATCCAAGACTGGGCAAAAACCAAGCAGATGTCATAGAAAAGTGCAAGAGTTTGTATACAGGTAGGAAAAACAAACTACTGTATAAATGGGAAAGAGTCAAACAGAAGTGGATAATAATGAAAAGATGTAGATGTTTATGTTCAGACATTTTTCTTGTGGCTGAAGCAATAAAAAATCATAGACTTATATTAATTGTTAGTCAACAAAGAAGTTAAGCAGTGCACATAATAATATAATATTATATAATAATACATAAAGAAAAAACCCCAGTCTACAAAGACACTAGCTCAAGCAGATACAGTATGCTGTTGGCATGAGGACTAAGGCAACAATTTACTTCCAAGATTTCTACTAGATTTCTAATGTTCTCTCCCTGCAGGTTTGCTGCTTTACATTTCAAGATGTATTTTGGTAATTGGTAAGTAAATGTTTAAGTGGTGTTTATATAATTTTAAAGTATTTACTTGGCTAAAAATGAATTTATCGTGAATTATCTTAACTAGAAGCAGCTGCAATAATGAACAAAGTATTTTTGTTGCCACATAAATAATGTGTAAAATAATTCATACATGTATAAAATTAGGAACGTGTTAGTCACCTCATAAATTCAGAGTTTAGATAAATGTATAGTGCCAAACTGCTTTGGATTTAAAATAAAACTCAAGCACAATAAGGACTTTCTGACAGGCAGACCTCAGGCTGTCAGGCTTGGAAACCACATCTCTGGCACACTAACTTTGAACACTGGGGTCCCCCAGGGGTGTGTGCTTAGTCCATTGCTCTACTCCCTCTATACCCATGACTGTAAGACCAAACACAACATCAACTCCATCATCAAGTTTGCCGATGACACCACAGTTGTAGGTCTGATCACAGACAATGATGAGAGGGCCTACAGGGAGGAGGTCAATCTCCTAACAACGTGGTGTGATGACAACAATCTCACCCTCAACGTCAGCAAAACCAAGGAGCTGATCGTTGATTTCAGGAAACTGCAAACCGGACATGCCCCTATCCGCATCAACGTGACTGAAGTGGAAAGGGTCAGTAACTTTAAATTCCTTAGCGTCCATATCACCGAGGACCTCACATGGTCTCTCAACACCACCTGCCTGATCAAGAAAGCGCAACAGCGCCCGTACTTCCTAAGATGGTTGAAGAAGGCTAAGATATGTCCCATCTATCCAGGACATTTATGACAGACGGTGCTTGAGGAAAGCTCTAAGCATCATCAAAGACCCCACACACCCCAGCTACAGACTTTATGATCTGCTACCATCTGGAAAACGGTAACTGAGCATTCGGTCCCGGACTACCAGACTCAGAGACAGTTTTTTCCAAAACACTATCAAACTATTAAACTCCCAGCCTCTCCCACTCTCACCTCACCTCTCACCTATGATCTGAACCTCACAGTGCCTTTTTCTTTCTTTCTTACCAAAAACCCAAACATACATTGAAAATCTACCTCTACCATACATGTCAAAAGCTCACTCCCCATAATTTCTATCTCTTTATTTCATTCTGTTGATGCATATTTTTGCAATAACCTGTTACCTTTTTGTTGATTTGCACATTGCCTGTTGCTGTTTTTGCACATTATCTGTTTTTTTTGCACACTGCCTGTTGTCTCTGTCTTTCTTTTGTTGTACAATTGTATTGTTGTTGTTGTTTTTTTCTTGTACTACTTATGTCCGAGAGCTAGCTAAATAGCATTTCGTTATACCATATACCTGTATATGAGTATAATGACAATAAACTTGAACTTGAAGTTGAACCTTGAACTTGTGTTGTATTCCAGTCAGTATTTTTTTTAATAAATAGAGAAGCAAAACACAAAAGCTCACATTCAACAAAACCAATAATTGAGAAAAATAAGATCAGTTCCACACTGCTGGGGAATCAGATGTTATGGTAGGAGGAGAGGTGCAGACGTTGCTGTATGCAGAAATAAACTTAGATTAATAATGGTTAAAACATTATTTTGAAAAATTAAGAAGCTTCCATAATTTATCAATACATTGTTATACAGTATCTCACCTTGGACAACTGATGTTTTCATTGTTTGGTAATATGATACTGAACTTACTTTGTATTTTCAAATTCATTTTGACCACTACCTTTATATTTAGCCAGGTACCCATGCACATCCTACAACTTCCTGAATGATTCATGGCGTAACACTGGGTATGACTACAGAAACTCGGGTGGCATCTCTATGTGTGACTACTACATGAATGGGAAATGGTACCGTTTCAGTGGAGCTGCAGGTGACGTCATGCCCACAGATTGTGTTCCAGAATATCATTGTGGTGCTGCTGTTCCCATATGGATGAATGGCACTCACCCAAAAGAAAGTGATGGCATCACAGAGGTGGAAGTGTGTGGTCACTGGGATGGTAAATGTTGCAATCAGAGGAGCTCAGTGAATGTAACCTTATGTCCAGGTGGATACTACTTGTACCAGCTACATAGCCCCTTTGTTTTCCATTTCGCTTTCTGCACCCGTGAGTATGTGTTTCATTTGCTATTAAATATCAAATTCTTGTCAGTCGTATGTCATAAGTATTTAACAAATACAATATTGTTCAATGACTATAAAACATGGATTCCAAGCATTATTAGAAAATAAAGGTAATAGCAGCTTTCCAAAGTAAATGTGAAATCCAGGACTATTGTATAAATTGTCTCCACTATGAAAAATAATTCCACCATACTCTTTTCTAAGATGAATCCAATGCTTTCTAAGAAGCAAAACAATTTAATACACAAAGTGATTTTTCACAAGTACAGTAGGTACCTTTTTGATGAGATAATGAGCATTGTGGAATGCTGTCTACAGTCTATACCTCCAGAAATATTACAACATGTTTGATGGGAATTAATTTCTGGTGGAAATTGCCTCTGGAGGCCTATAGTAATCTGTTTTGAGGTCCTAGTTGTAGTAATAATAATAATTGTTTGCACTTATATAGCACTTTCCCAGACACTCCACTCAAAGCGCTTTACAGGTAATGGGGACTCCCCTCCACCAGGACACCAGTCAGGACCTCTGTTTTACATCTCGGCCAAAGGATGGCACCTGTTTACAGTATAATGTCCCCGTCACTATACTGGGGCATTGGGACCCACATAGACCGCAGAGTGAGCGCCCCCCTGCGGGCCCCACTGACACCGCTTCCAGCAGCAACCTTAGTTTTTCCCAGGAGGTCTCCCATCCAGGTATTGACCAGGCTAACACCTGCTTAGCTTCAGTGGGCTGCCAGTTGTGAGTTGCAGGGTGATATGGCTGCTGGTAGTGTTATAACTAAATATTACAGCATTCACACTCCTTTCCTGAAAACCAAAAGGAGCAAAAAACATATGCTAATTTCTAACTATTTAATTACACACCCTTTTATACACCCAGTCCATTAATTCACCCACAAATGAATCCATTATTTATAATACTGTTACAAATATTGGAGTTTAAGAAAATAGAACAAATAGTGCACAGTATTCATTAAAATAAATAAGCGTGAACCCCAAATTGAACCCCAAAGAGATACCCAAACAAGATATTTGTTCTCTGACACAGCTTTGCTGAAAGAATAATAAATCAGAGGCAAACTGGAAAAATAAAAAATGTATTAAGAATTACACAAACTAAATGACACAAGTGCAACATATAAGTTACTATATTTATAATCACGTTATCTCAGAGATCTATATCCTGGCCAACAAGAAAAACCCTGACTGCTAATCCAGTACTCAAACGTGCTCCAGGTATATAATTCCTAAACAGGACCATAAGAGATATAAATATGTATCGTAAATAAAACATAATATAACCAAGAATAAATCTCTCTTCCTAAAATCTAGATGCTTCAAAGTGACGGGAATCTGTCACCCTATTTTTTAAGTTGAACACACTAACCAGGAGAGAACATTTTTATCTTGGCAAATCAGTTCTGGAAATCGGAATGAAGTATTTTTTAGAAACAAGTGCTCTATTGTTACTTTGATACACATTGTATGTACCACATTCCATACAATTGTATTTTTAGTATAATTATTAAGCATTTTTTTTTGTTTCCACAACTTCATTAAACATTTCCATGATTTTTTGTAGGCCACAACACTTGTACTCCTTCAGTTTGTGGTCCAAATGCACAGTGTGATGATGATACTGGAAGCTGCATTTGTGACCCTGGATTCAAAAGCCCTGGCACATACCCTCCAGGAAGCAATGGGATCTTCTGTGTAGGTAGGAGTGGCATAATTTTGTGTAATTTTTTTAATATGCTACTATTACTACAGTACATACTACTTACATACATTATGTCATTGGCACATGTCCCTATAAAGCATTATTCATGTGATTATAATGTTTTTTGTAACCATTATTAGGAATGGTTGAAGCCATTATGCAGCAACATTGAAATAAAGTTACCAAAAATGTTTACTCTGAACTAAAAATGGTAAAATCATCTAAATTATTCTGCTAATATTTATTTACTGAAGGTGACATATAAAAATGTGCAGACTCAAGTTATTTCTATGTTGAAAAAAAGAACTCCTAACATTTCAATTTTGGAATCTTCTTCAGGATTGTGAAACTGAAGATTAAACCCAAAAAGGCTCCATACCTTAATATGTGTGATTTTTCTACTTCTACTTCTTACAAAGGAAGCCGAGATGTAAGCACAGGTTCACAGAGGAGCCTTGGAAATCTTTGGAAAAGCTTGGTGGGAGGTTTGGCTATATTGAGAGATGATGAAGTAATAATGCAAGCTGATGGAGAATAGAGCTGTACAAATAATGCGAGGTGAAAATAGGCTGTTGTATTACAGCAGAGAGGCTGTCTTGAATACAGTAGTTGAAATAATAAAAAATTAAGACAGGGAGAGATTAGATTAATAACAGCTGTCTGAATTAGAGAGGCTAGCTGGAATGAAGCTGAAATGGCAGTGGAGAAAGCTAGGGAGCCATAGCTTTGGAGGAGACTTTGAAAAAGAAAAAGAGTAGAAAAATTGTGATCCAAAAAAAGTACTTCAGTATTGCAAAGGTCAGAACTGAGGACTTAGATCAGTGTCGGAGCACTTGATAAGCTGGTAAAAGCCTCACATAGTCTGTTTACTTGTCTGACTGAGATTCGGTGGGTCTGCATGACTAAAACATTAATGTATTTGGAGAGATGCATCCTGAGTGAGTGACTCAAGTTATGCTGGTTGCCTGGCTGGTGCTCTGCTCCCAGCCCAGGTGTAACAATCCCATTATGTCAGACACTTTATCAGTAACACACTTTAGTTAGACAGTATAACTAAAAAGAAATTTTCTTTAAAACTAATTTGCTAGCATGTCATAATACTTCACAGCTGTGTCAATAATTTTTAAAGCTGAAGACATATTCTAAGGAGTGGTGGAACATCTGAAGAGATAAGACTAAAAGGGGTGCAAGCACTCTGGGATGGAAAGACAGTGAAAAGAGAAAGGAGCTGATAATGGAATAATTTATTATTGGCTAGCAGAGCTTAATCAGCCCAGGCCAGTCTGTAATGGAAAAGAGAAAGGAAGTGGGGATGTGTGTCAATACAAGGAGAAGCCGTCTAACTGCATCTTTGGTGAAAAGAGGCTGCTGAACACAGTCAGTCAGAAAAAAAAGAGCCTTGAGAATGGGAGATACCAAATGGAAAGACTCCTGAAAAGGGAACTGAAGGGTTGAAGGACAGTCCTCAGGAGTAGCCAGGGGTACAGGTCAGCAAGCAAAAAGGCCAAAGTGCTGAACAAAGGAAGAGGCATCAGGGACCACAGCTGTGCTATTCTCCAAGGGGAGAATATTCTCCAAGAGGACAGGTCTCACAGAAAAGTGATGGGGTAGGAAACTAGTGATCCATTCGGAGTGCCCAGGGGCCGGTGATACAAGGTACAACACTTACAGTACTTGGGGGTCTCAGCTGTCAGCTCAACCTCCCAGGAATCTCGCTCCAAAGAAAAGTGCCCACATGCAAAAGGAGTCAAGATCCAGGTACTCTTTGGATGAACCAAGGGGAGACCTCTGCCAGGAATGGGTGAAAAAGGAACCCTGTCCTTAGGCCCCTCACAATAGCAGGAACCCTAGTTCAGCACAGCTGTGGGAAATCAGAGCCTGGGAACAAAAAATTCTCAGGGAGCTCAGGCTGACAGAGTTCTGCTCACCAAGCATCTGAAATACCTGGATGTCTGGCCCCCCTAGGAAGAAAAGAGAAAGGGCTCCAACTGAGTTAAAAAAATTGATGCAGATGTTTATGATGAAAGTGGAATATACTACCACTACCAACTATATATTGTATATAGTATATATTTAAACTCATGAATTAATATGGTTAATGATATTTAGAAGCTTATTTTAATTTTTAGCTACAGACATTTAATTTTAGTTACATGAGGCATATTCTATATTTAGTGAGTTTAAAGGAGTATGATAACAGATAACAGCTCCCTTGACCGCCCTCACCAACCATCCACACCAGGCACTTTCCATTACAACAGAGCTCGCTGTATCACCTGCAAGTACACAGCCACCACCACACTCATTCAAGGCCCCTCAGGACAATTCCGGATCACCCAGACAGCATCTTGTACCTCCAGCAACCTTATTTACTGTATCTCTTGTAGTAAATGCCCAGCCATCTACATTGGACAAACAGGAAGGAGACTCGGAGACCGCTTCAGAGAACACGTCAGGGCTGTGAAGATTAGAGATCTCTCCAAGCCCATTGTTTCTCATTTCACCTCTGACGGCCACGACCACTCTAATCTCTCCGTCTGTGTTCTCAAAGATGGTTTTCCGAACTCATACATCAGAAAGACCACCGAAACTAAAATTATTCTCCAGCTAGGATCATACATTCTCCCTCCTCTTAACGACAGACTACTGTTCTTTTAAATTTTCTCCATTCATTGGAAGTTTCATTTCACACCTCTCTGCACCGTTTCTGACTTCAATTTGATTGGCCTCTCTTTCTGTTCTATTAGTTGTTCCTTTGATAACAGATAAGATCACTTTAATTTCTGTCGTGGGAAATTCTTCACCAGAGGAGCAGGACACAGTCTTGTGCAGATTCAGTTTTATTGAGCTCAATAAGTTCAATAATGCGCGCCGTGTCTGCCCCACATAACAGACAAACTGCAAGGGTTTCCCAGCTCTTATACAGTATACAGTCAGAGTAAAGTTTGTTTCACAATCTGAGTGTTTGTCCTGTTCTTTGATATGTAATTACTACTTGTCTTACTCTAGGTTCTGTCCTTTGATATGCAGCAAACACTGGTCTGGTTTATCCCATTTGTAGGTGTTGTTCCTGTCTTTTATTATGTAGAGTTAAGCCACTGGGGCTACTTAAGCAAGTCAGCTTTATGGCATCTTAGTGTAACTTTTGTTTGAGGCTAAATTACAGGCCCAACCAACACCTCTCACAATGTGCTTAAATAGTGATACTTCGATGGTGGATAAGTGAGATATATACATGTCCCAATTCACTGGCCATATACAATTTCTTGTATTAGGAATTCCTCATACCCCAACTTGCACTTCATGAGACACACAGACAGGAAGAGAAGCTTGTGGTCAGAGCCCTTTATATGGGGCTTCTAAAGCAGCTGGGGCTATGGGCCTTGCTCAGGGGCACACAGAGTAGGATTCTTCTGCTGGCTGTGGGATATGAACCAGCAACCTTACAGCCATAGGTGCAGACCCTTAGCCACAGAGCCACCAAACAACCCCAATTAAATAAAGCTAATGTTTTCACTAACATCTAATGAGCAACCAGAACTCTGAGAGCAATGTCCTGTTTCATGTACAAGCTATTGTTACAAATGGAGGGTTGTAATTTATTTTGTAATAAGGTTACTCCCTGGAAATTAGACACAAGAAGGGCCTGGACAATGTTGAGTGGCTCTGAGAAGATTTTTCTGTAAACTGAAGAGTTATAGAGGAGGCACATTGTGTATTGCCTCTTTTTATACTTGTATACACTTTCCAATTTAAATGCAATACAGAATATATTATCAATATTGAGTGGTCATGGACAAGCTGTAAGCTGAAGAGAAGATACATTGAGTCTTGTTTTTTCAGCTTGGAATTAATCTTTAGATTGATCTTTTTGGCTATATTTTGAAATAGCCTGGGTGTATAAAAATAGTTAATTATTATAGTTTGTTGTGAATGTGATGTGCCTCTTTCAGGTTTACATCTGCATTAAGAAAATCTATATTTTTTGAGAAATGTAACTTTTAAATTTTGATTAAGAAAAATATTTCACACATGTACTGTAGTGGCTTTGAAACCATATGATATCATACTGTTTATACAATATATTTATACAGTATACAAACACACAGCCATTCATTGCCATGTACGCTGTTGGTATATCTGTGGATCTGACTTCATGGGATTCGTGTGTATGGAACGGCAGGAGGCAAGACCCCGCAACAGGGATTGTTTCGATTATACTATGAATGAGATCCAAGGTTTTGAATTTATAAAACAATAAACCTTTGATGAGTTTGCACAAGAGAAAAAAGGTACCTTTTCAGAAGTCATAAACTGCACAAACTACTGTAGGTGAATCTGACAAATAGCAAAGGTTGCTTAAAGAATTTAAAACCTACCTGACTACTGTAGCTCTAGTTTAATTGAGCAGAAAGTCACCTTGCTCTAACAAGCGGCTCTGTTAGCAGAGTTTGTGTTAACACACTGCACCGCTTTGAATTGATTTTTATCATCTTTGTCTTTCTAGAGAGTGGAGATTGTCAAACTTCCTCAATTTAACATCTGATCAGTAAACTGAGAGACTAAAACCCACTATTGATAAGACATCTGCCTTTTCTCAAACTGCTCCAAAGTGCAGCATAGAATCCTCTAAACTTAAAGCTACGATGGACACCACAGTTACCCGTCATACAAACTGTGGTACCATAATACCTGTAATACAAGGGACCACTACAAACTAAAACAACCCCAAATTCAGCATGTGTGAACATAGGAACAAATATCGGCTCCACAAAACAGATCAAAGATCTTGAACAAGCCCCCAAATATGCTACTTCCCCACTATAGTTACAGCAAGGTGGGAATCTGATTTTTTAAAACATTTTTTAAACAAAATCAAAAATGAGAAACAATGACATGTCCTTGCCTACCTCAGAAATTGAATGGCATTAAAAGATATAAAATGTTTTTAGTAGTTCAAGTAGGTACAGTATACGTAGGTTGCAAATGAACAGGTACCAGGTTTATTCCATACTGAAAAGAAAAGAAAGGAAACACAACATTTTCTGTGGAGATAGTTAAACACCACTTATTATGCACGAGAAGCGGGTGATATTTCTTCTTCGTGATCAGCTTAGAATCTTTGTGACCACTGTAAGTTAAAATAAGTTTTCCAATGCAAAATGAAACATATACACAAAAAATTACATATTTCTCTCGATGGAGAGTGAAATTAAAGACCACTTCCCCCTATTGCAAGGTGATAATGCACTGGCTGGCACAAAACAATCCATCCTGTGCTGTTTCTGAGTATCCTGGAGGTGGTCTAGAGGTTCATTCATTCATGTTATTTTGCTCCTATGCTCCTATTATTTTTATGCTCAGCTACCAAAGTTTCTTCAGCTACCTTAAGTTGTAAATTTCCATATTATTATTCCATATTAAGCTGATTTAAACACGCACAGTAGATAGGTTAAATGAAGCAATCATCTCACTAACAACTAATGCAACTAATGCACAACTAATGCCACCTGTCGATTATCTTTGGCCAGCGAATCACGTCCTTCAGCAGCCTGCAACCCCAATCTTGTGTTTTGAATCATTTTGAATGGCTACATCTGTATGTACAGTATTTACAGACAATGTGTTTCAGAGGCCTAATGTTCCAATCACCCAGAAAAACCCTAAGACCTCAAATGAAACTCTTAATTAATGCCTACAGAGGCCTTATAAGAGATAAGCTACCGTCTAAATAAATGTGATACAACCTGCAGTTAAATCTCTCTCTGCATCTCGAATGCCACAAAATAAATGAGAGCCTATTTCCTTGTTCTAAAAATGCACCCTAAGCAGGAAAGATATTTCTAACTGAGGTGTCTTTTTACCCAGGAAACCCAAATTCTCTAAAAACACAGAATAAAATGTTCTCTCTAACAAGGTTCAAATACTTAGCTCCAGTCAGGTTTGGTTTGGATGATCATGAAGTAGGGGCTCTCGCCTGGCTTAGGCTTCAAGTTCCAATTCCTCTTTTCTCTCTATTGTTGTCCTCTTCTTCTCCTTCTTTCTTCCTTTTCTTGATGTCTCCTCTGTGCTCTTAATGTGATCCTGTATGTTTTTTTATTGTTTCTGTATTGTTCATTGACAATCATTAACCCACAACTTACCTACAGTAGGTACTTTACAATGGTTTTTGACCATTGTATGGATGTGGATGTGGATGTGTTCTTAATTGACATAATAGATTAAAGTAGTTCAGGTGGATAGCTGCGTCAGCATGCGTAGGCTGTAAAGGAACAAGTAATAGGTATATTCCATGCTGGAAAAAAAGAAGAAAAAAAACACAACGTTTCAACTCCATGGCCAAAACGTTGTGTTTTCTTTCTTCTTTTTTTCAGCGTGGAATAAACCTATTACTTGTTCCGTAATAGATTAAATACAATTTACTATTTCAGGTATGATAAAACTACACGTATTAATAAAGTTCTAATAATTACTTTGATTCTTTTTAGATATTAACGAGTGTGACAGTACTCCTTCAATATGTGGGCAAAACGCAAAATGTAACAACACTGCTGGAAGTTACAACTGCAGCTGTAATATTGGATACACCCCACCTCCTGGAATCACATTCACAAACAATTCATACCCGTGCCAAGGTAAAGAAAGAAGAAATATGTATATTCTTTGTATTATTTAGTATGCATTTTCTAGTTAATTAAAATATGACTAAAAGGGTCATGAGCACTTGTACATCAATTAATTAAATTAAAACACATTTAAAGGTTTTACCTGCTCATCAGCCTCATTTGGCCCTATGAGGTATTTAATGAAGATTTCTGTGCAGTCCAGAGCATCAATTATATTAGGAAATGCTGCAAGAAGGGTTGAGATTGTGGTGCAAGCTACAGAGAACAGAAGCTACTTTTATAGCAGATAGACTTATACAGTATATGAGAATATTACCAGCTATTTTATGAAGACCCTGTTTGATGTTCTTCAAAAATGTATGGCTGGGAAATAATATAAACTCTCCCGGAAACTGTTTTAATAATAATAATAATAATAATAATTCCTTACACTTTTTTCTGGAAACTTCACTCAAAGCGCTCAACAGGTAATGGAGACTCCCTTCCACCATGACCAATGTGCAGCATCCACCTGGATGATGTGACGTCAGCCATAGTGCGCCAGAACACTCACCACACACCCGCTATCAGTGGGGAGGATAACAGAGTGATGAAGCCAATTAATAGATAGGGGGTATTGGAGACCATTGATTGGTAAAGGCCCAGGGGGAAATTTGGCCAGGATGCTGATGTTACACCCCTACTCTTTTCAAGAAACATTCTAGGATTTTTAATGACAACTTAGAGTCAGGACCTTGGCTTTACGTCCCATCCGAAGGACAGCATCTTTTTAGTGCAAAAACCATCATTACTTCACAACACACTATCAGTTTACTGAAGGGATCTAAGTTGCCAATACAGTAAAAAACTGCACTAGTCAAAAGGAATCTCAGTCCTATTCACAGAGTTAGTTTCTGTTAATGCTGAACTATGACAAGCAGTATTAACAATATGCCGATTTGAAATATTGTAAATATGTATTATATTGCTTATATTGTTAATATAAAGAATATATGAATGTAAAAGATACCCTGTCTGCTGAAAATGGATCTTTCGAATAAAAAATATCAGATAACTATAAATGGCGATCTTTCTACAAAATTCAACTCAAAATGTCAACTGTATCCCTAAAGAAAAGTGACTTTGTTTTCTTGCATGGGATTAATTAGTCTATGAGTTGAGCTTCTATCTGCAAAATTAGGTTAAGATTAGCTTGACCTGCGCCAGAGCAGTAACTATAGTAACTCAACAACTGGGCCAGATTTACAAACAGGCTGGCATAGGCTGTAGCCTAGGGGTCCAGATTGATGAGGGGCTTGTTTTTTTTTTGTAATGGAAATGTGGGCCCTCACTGGTTCATAAAAACGTTGAATAATTTGTGAATCGATGATTGGTTAGATGCAATGGATTCGCAGTTAAAATTTATTTTGGCGAATTTTATATCACTATTGCGTCTCTCAGTTTGTCATCTCTGGTGCAAGTTTACAATGGCTAGCATCAAACTGTGTGATAGAAAATATTGTAGCGAGTTCATGTTCTTGGGCTTGTGCCCTCTCCACATGGGCTCGAGCCCAGAGTCTGGTATTGCTTAACACAGGTCTTGCCAGCTGAGCTAAAGAAGACCTTCCTTATCCCAGGCGGCCAAAATCCATTATGCACAGGGGAGTAGAGGGCGGTGGCCATCAAAGCCCTGCAATCAGCTCTTACAAACTATATGTCGGCCAAATTCGTAACAATATGATATTGGGGTGCAAAAACGAAAAGCACAGTGGTTAAAAGAGCAGCGTGGGTAGGATCTACTTAAAAAGTCCCATATTTTTCTAGTCGGCTGCATCATCATCCAGTCAGCATTAGCCAGACCCCAACCCTGAAATTAGGGCTAATGTTGCAGCCGGTGCTACAACAACCGCGGCTAATAGGGTAGCTTCAGCTAGTTCTAGCACAGACCATATCAACGCCAATCATGATGACGAGCCAGCTCGTAGATTGGCTGTGAATCTGATTTATTAATTCCATTGCTGTACTTACATTGCAGGCTATAGTAGTGTGTATGCGTGTTCCCTATATGTGCTGCATCATATTCCGTTTGAATCGGCGGTAGAAAGCTCTTACTCCGAACGCATCACTGAATTATTACAGTATTTTCTCTTGCTTTTTTCTGGTAATTGGGATGGGCCTCGGGGCCTTCGATCACCTTAATCCACCCCTGCTTAACCAGATACAATTCAATCATGCTTCATTGAAACAAAGATCCTGACTCTGTCAACATGTTTACAAAAGTTATCTAGTAAAGTGAGTAGTGTTGTTTTGTGAAATATCCCCCTTGACAAGGACCTCTTACCTTCTGTCTTCCTCTGCTCTCCTCTTCTCTTTCCTTTTGTTTTAATGCTATGTTCCAGGACTGTAGATGACACTCTTTAATGATTTACCAAGAACCTAACTAACAAAGATAAACCTTACAATCACTGTGATCAGTGAATCTCAAGACCCCTAAATCTCAGCAAACAACTCCTTACTTTGAAGAACACCATTGAGAATTGGAAATGTTTAAACTAGCCATGTGCTGACCATTGTCCCTTAGATTATGAAATTTCAATAGTCACTTTCCAATCCATAATAACCATAACAATACTTTATTAAAATCCTGAATGTCCTAACATTTAATATTTGACTTAATATTTAAGAAGTATTGTGATCCAGAAATCAATATTTGGTGGAGATACTTTTGGAAGCAATTACAGCTGCAAGTGTTTTGAGTTAAATCTCTTCTACTTCACACTGCAAGTTGGCTTGGTATAATTTTTGCCCGTTCTATTTGGCAGATTTTCTCAAGTTTTCTCTAGTTGCTTGGGGATTGCTTATGAGTTTTCAAGTCATTGTTTTTTTATAGGATTAAAGTTAGAACTTTAACTTGGCTGCACTAGGATGTTCTTATGCCATTCTAGTATAACTTTAATCTTGGAATTTCAATCATTGTCCTGCAAAAAGATTAACTTTTTGGTCCCATTTCAAAACCTGAAGAAAGTTTTCCTCTATGTTTCCTTAGTATTTTGCTTTGTCTATGATCTCATCATCTTGACAAGCTGTGGGGATGGTGTTGGTGTTGACTGTGTGGGTTTGCATCAGATGTAGCACTATGCATTTAGACCAAAAGGTTTCAATTTTGACTTGTCCTAACACAAAACCTTTTGCCACATGTTTGCAGTATCACTTGGTAGCTTAGTTCCAAACCCATGTGGGTGGTTTCCAGATTCATACAAACCTCCTGTGTGGAGTAACTGGGATGTTATGGATTCATGTATATTTTATCCTGTCTGAGTCACTGAACTCTGTAACAGTTTCAAAGCTGATGTTAGCCTGATGGTGACATATGTAGACAACATTTTCCTAGCCTGAGTGCTCAGTTTTGATTGACATTGTGATCTAGCCAGTGTCTGGGTACCTACCACTTCTTAATGACCACTCTACACTAAACTATTATTAATGCTAAAAGAATGACAACAAAGAAGCTCAAAGAATGACAGCATTTACTGTAACTGATAGCTTGGCCCATAAATTTAAGTTTGTGTGCTTAAATTAATTTAGGTTTGCCACAACAAAGGGTTTGAATATTTAAGTAATAGTTGTACATCTATTACAACTATTTAATACTTTCAGACTTTAGTTTGAATATGTTCTGCTATGTTAAATAATGCATGTGAGTTATCGAGACATTCTGAGATTTTGAAACTAACTATAAATCTTTTAAATGTTTTTTTTTATTTATTTTCATGTTACAATGGCTTTGCCATTTATAAAAAGATGACACATTTTAGAAGCCAGCTAATTAGTACTTCTTGTATTCTTACAAATTTTAGGCTTATAATAATATTTTTACAAATGGGGGATTACGAAATTGATGAAAATCAGAGATTGACCAAAGGATTAAGTCAATAAGTGAAATAATTATTCATAACCCCCAACTTCTAGCCATATATCCAAACAATTAGTATAATTAAAGGCACGTGAATTCTTTGTTCTCTGGCACTTGAGAGAAGTAATAATCCAGGCACAGGTGGTTAAACAGTTATTTATTACAATGACAATACACAAACTACACTATACAAAACATACTAGTTGTACTATGTGCAGAATTTACAAACAAGGTGTTTCAGAGGCCTAATATTCTGTTCACCCAGAAAACCTCAAATTGCTACTAAGCATACTTTCAAACTAAAAACAATGCAACCCTCAGTTAAATCTCTCTGGACTCTGGATGCCACAGAATAAAAATGGGAGCCTATATCTCTAACCATGCACCCTAAGCAGGACAGACGATTCTAACTGAGGTATCTTTTACCCAGGAAAGCCAAGTTTCCTTAGAACAGAATTGCACACTTTATCTAGATAGGTTCAAATACTTACAGTAGCTCCAGTCAGATTTAGTTTGGATGATCATGAAATAGGGGCTCCTAGTGCAGCTCCTCTGGACTCCTCTCTTCTCTGTTCCCTGCCTCTTCTCTCTTTTTCTTTGTGAACTTAATGAGATCTTATATTGTGTATTTCTGTATTGCTCCTTGACAATCATTTATCCACAACTTACCTAGGTATACAGATGCAGTCATTCAAAATGCGCGGGCGATACCGCATTATTTTCCGGTACGCTGTACGCAGTCTACCGCGAGTTACCGGTAAATACCACGAGTTACCGGTAAATACCGCTAGTTACCGTAAATTCTCCTATAATACGACAAGCAAAATATTAGTATCCTGAATTTCCGCAAGGTGGAGTTAATAAAGCTCAACCTCTCATGTTTGAGCTGTCGTCATCAAAGTCTTTAACGAAGATATTACTAATAGTATTAATAATGAATGACCTTGGACAAGCTGTAAGTGTAAACTCAAAGTATTACCCTGGTCAACATTCTTTTTTTCATTGACCGTCTTTGTAAAAGTAACACCACAGCATTTCGCAATCACGCATTTGTTTCCAATCATGCAAAGTACAATAATTTTTGAGAATCGATTCACCATGCCTTTCACATACTCAT